TTACCTATGATGAAAATTACAGACCTCTCTCATCTTTTTAAGTGGGAGAACTTGCACAATTGCTGGCTGACTAAATACTTTTTTGACCCACTGTATATATTTTAAAATGAGTAAATAAACAGATTATTATGCATGTTTCCATCTACTTAATTCAGGGAGATGGATATAAAATCCCCTGGATCAGATGCTCACATAGACTTTAACAGCTTGTCAAATCCAATACCTGCAGATGTGTTCAGTTCCTCCCAGAATTCCCAGCCAACATGGCTAGTAGTCTTATGCCTGCACATATGGAGAGCTCCACAGTGGGAAGGCTGAACTACAACCATAGGACTTCACTGACAGACCAGTTAATTTGTCAATTAAATCTTTTGCCACCATTATCAACTGATATCCTGTGTCACACTGAACATTTAAATTTAAGTCTTGAGATCAGTACATGATATTAGCAATTTCAAGATTACCTAACACTATAAAAAATGTTCTACCTAGAAATTATATTCTCATCCCAGGATCATCAACTATGATAATGGTAGCATAGTATAATTATTTAACATTTGTAAAATATGCATTTATGATCAATATTACTATTTCAATTCCAAATTAATTTTTAAGAATGAACATTAACTCTCTTTCCTGAATGGTAATACTTATCCAGAAGTTAATTCCACCATGCTCAGGTGGAGTTACTCATTAGTGTTTAGAACTGCAGCCTCAACCTTCTAATTTAAGTTTTAAAAACAACCTCCGTTAGTTTTGCTTCATTTTACAATTTAATTGTAGATGTAAATTTCAAAAACATAAACACCTAAACATAAACAAACAAACCAAAAACCAAAAACACAGAGTCACTTTTTGTGAGATGGGCGGTATCTAAATTTGAAATATAAATAAATAAAAACACACAAGCTGATACTATATTATAATGCCACTCTTAGTTATCTCTAAATATTATTTTCAAAATGCAATTTTGCTTTATTTAAAAAAAAAAACAGTCAAAAACTCCATTCTCAATTTAAATGCTTGCAGCTCTGGCAAGCACCCAAACATGCTTATGGAGAACATGGAAACTCAGAAAAGAATTCAGAACCTTCTGGGGCAGCCATCAGCAAGCAAACAGGAAATGAAGAAACATGAAAAGTCTCCTCAAACTTTTTAAGCAATTGATTTTATAAAATCAAGTAATGTTGTACTAATGCCCTTTTGCTAGCTGCTTTTGCTTCTTTTAAAAAAGAAACCCAGCACCCATTTTCATCTTCCTGGATGCAGCGCTGGAGCATCACGCTCCAGAGATGACCCTGTGAACCCAGGAAAATAATAGCCAATGCTGATGCAGAGCATTGTTTTCCCTACCACGAGAGCAGATGGGAACAGGAGAGCAATCCCCAAAGGAAAGCTGCAGGCAGAATTGTGAAAGTAATTGTTGCCTTAGGCCAGTTTTTCCTAACCTGCCAGGCAGATGGTTTGGCAACAATTCTGCCACCCTGGCTGTAAATGATGGGAGCTGAAGAGAAAAAGCTCCAGCTTGCCTCAGAAACAGCAGCTAGCGGGCAAAGGCTATTCCTAACCTTACCTGTGGGGCGCCAGGGACTGATCCTAATTCTTGTTCATACTTAAGCACGTGCTTTTCTACTTAACTACAGGACCTATTTCATTAGTCATTGGTGATAAAGATACAACGCTTGATCTATCTCTATCAGGCAGTGGCACCTGGCAGATCCAAAACAGGAAGTGTCTTCCTTTGTACCAACAATAATCATTCTCTTCCTCCAAAATGACTTAGTGGACACCATGCTTCATAGCATCTCAATCCAGCCATGCCCTTTGCTTCAGAATTTCCAGCTGAACAGCTTCTGAGAGAACAAACACAGAGCATCAATGCTTGATTGCCAGGGTCTGCTTGGTATCAATTTACCAACTGATGCTGATGCTTTCTTTCTGTGTTATATTTTATGCCATCCAATGCAAAGATTTGTTCTTGTAAGCCTAGGGGGAAAGTCATGATCCCTGATTTATTCCTCTTTTGCTTTATTTATTTTATTCATTTATTTATATTTCAGATTTAGTCACTGCCCATCTCACTCAAGAGTGACTCTGGGTGGTTTACAATAAAACAAGAATAAATATGGATTAAAATACAATAAAAAAACCAAGTTCATACTTCCAAGATATAAGAAAGGGCTCACTTTTAGCAAGCCACATATGATGGTAAGAAATAAGATATTCCATCTCTGGGTTATATTTAATATTTTTTAATTGAGTAAATAGCTCCTTATTTATTAATGCGAGACTCATGCAACAGCAAAACACTGGCCATAAGTAGATTAATTAATGTATTTATTATTGCTTTTGTGCTGCAGTGCTTTTGCTTCCATAGAATTAAAGGCCAAGAACTTTTATTTCAGAAGAAAAAAAATTCAGTCTCTAAAAAAAGTGAATGCAAGAAGTGACAGCTGTAGGAAGAAAAGTCAGACACCAAACCATGAGCTAAGCTGTTGGGTGCAAACAGGCAATGAAGACAACATATATTTTAGGACTTGCAACTTAGAAAACAATAATACTCTACCAAGGGTGCATAAAGTTAATTTGCCACCCTCTCTGTTTAATTTGTTCAATCTGCTTTAAGCTTTGCAGCAGAAGACATAAGAAACTCATTAATACTGACACCTTAAGACACCTCCAGACTGGTAACACCCTGGGTTGGCTTTGTAATGGAGCAGTGGAAACAATTTTTGACTTCCCTGAGCAAATATATTACTCACCGACTGAAAAAACTACACAATCAAAAGCAATAAGCAAAGGGCACAGAAAAATATCTCAGGGCATTATTAGTATTCAGATCTTGGTTCACCTTAGTATTGGATGGGAGACCACCAGAAAATAACTACAGGTTAGCCTGGAAAGTCAAACAATAAAAAATTAAATTTAAAAAAACATCCTGGAAGAATGCAAGCCACTTTCATATTGTTGCCAAACAAACTGTCCATGAAGTCACCAAAAGTGACTTGATTTGAGGGAGCCTTTTCCTTTTCTCATTCTATATGGACTCACCTGGTGGATGACATAAAGGCCATAATCCAGCTGCTGCCGCTGCAAGAATGGATGAAGGTGCTCCAACAGATACAGCAGATGCCTCTCTCGATTGCGGTGTGGAATCAATATAGCTACTCGTTGCTGAGCTGTGCAGTCTTTTGGGCTATGGCGCCCCTTTGCTACTGAAGGATTCTCTTTCTGCACCTCTTCCAGAGTGAGAGACGCTCTGAAAGTAAGCTTGCTTGGACCCCCTATAGGAAAAGGCAAGCCTCATGTTCACAATTCTCACTACAGTAAGACTTCAGAGCTCAGGGAAGTGACTGAGGATTATAGAATCACAGACTTTAAGGGGTGGAAGGTACCGTGGAGATCATCTAGTCCAGTGTTTTTCAACCTTGGCAACTTTAAGATGGGTGGACTTCAACTCCCAGAATTCCACCCATCTTAAAGTTGCCAAGGTTGAGAAACACTGATCCAGTCCAATACTTTGCCCAATATTACCACCTGACCAATGGCTATCCAACCTCCGTTTAAACTCCCCTGTGAAGTCCACCACCTCCCAAGGTACTTTGTCCCATTACTAATCAGCTCCTACAGTTATAGAATCATAAAAGGGCAAGGAAGAGGTTTGCAGTTTTGAAATTCAGTTCTGTAGAGTAAAGTCCACATAAACAATTAGCACTGCTGGCAAGCCACCCATAATTTTGCTGGGGACAGAATGGGGTAGACAATGATTGGCTTTACATTTTTTGCTACAACTTTTGGCCACAGCTTGTTGAACAAATCATAGCACCCTAGCTAACATGTAATACTAAAAATATAAATCATGGTTTACAATCCATAATGGCTGGATTTAAGAAATGTCATTCTCTAGGTTGACCAGTTGCACTTCTTCATGCAATATCTTTCCCAATGCAGCATCATGAAAGTGAATGTCCTGTAGTGATTAAGATACTGGACTTGGACCAGGAAGACAGGGGTTCATCTTCTCATTTGACTACAAAGCACATTGACTGTGGGCCATCTCCTCTCAGCCTATTCACAGGATTGCTTTTAAGAGGATAAATAGGAGAGACTTATGCATGCTGTTTTTAGGCTCTTTGAATAAAGCTAAGTTATCAATGGAAACTAACAACAGGCTCCTGATCAAGCAGAAGGTGGACCAGGGAGGCTTTTGCTCAGATTCAGATGGTGTGCCAATTAAAACTCCAGATGGGCCAGAATGCTCTGGCAATAGTAACTCATGCCCTGATCATCACTTGGTTGGGCTACTGCAACACAGTGTATGTGGGTCAGGTAGCACAAAACATAGAACCAAACTGCTGGCAGAACAGCGTTGCCACTACAGAGCAACACCAATGTGAGAGGTGCAGGGTAACAGGCTTTCTCTGTGGTAGCGCCCCATACTTTACTACATGGTTCCTGCAGGGGTGCATTTGGTCCTATTCCTTCTTGCATTTCACTAGCTGGTAAATTTGTATTTTCCAACGCTTGTGGATTTCACTCACATGCTTTTTTATGATTGGACTGTATTGTTTTTATTGTTGCTGTATTTATGTTGTTGTGCTTTGTGGTTCACTGCCCAGAGTCTGTCAGGATTGAGGCAGGTTACAAACACTGCTAAATAAATAAATAAATAGCTCCAACATGATGTTCTGTCCCTATTTTCCTGGGGCTTTTGCTTCTTAATTCCTACTATTACACTTAAAAATGGGACGCAAATTTAATTTCAAACTAGTACTTCCTAACTACAAATCCAAAAGAGAAAACTGCAAAAGCAAGAGAATATGTTAAGTTTACAATTCTTCATTAAAACTATATCCATACATTGCTAAATTAGGAGTTGCTTTTTGATGGGTGGATCCTATCAATGGATCTTATTCTTTGATAATATGTGGGATGTCCACTGGAGTTGGGTGGCTAATAAATTCAAATAAATAATTTTTTAAAAAAACATCTAAATCATGGAAGAAATGTCTGAATTGACTGACTTTTTACAAGCAGTAACACAGACATTTAAAAAAACCCAAAATTGACTTGGGTCATATTAATAATCGAATTTAAGATCCAACAATAGCACCTTTGCTATATGATCTAAGTATTTAAATGATCCTTAAGAGACCTTCCATCAGACACAGGAATACAATACCAACTCCCCACTCCTTTTTTTTTTTTCAGGAAGAAGAAAAAATGTAAATTGACTTACGCAGATAGGGAGACAGAGAGGGACAGGGGGATTTTGCTATGGGTAGTTTCCCAGTAAGCATGGCCTTCCTCTTTGAATTCTCCTTTTGTTCCTCCATAATAGTGGTTGGCTTCCTGAAACTTCCAACCATGCCTTTTGCTGCTGGAGTTTCATGTAAAGTAACTACCAGGTAAGTGGAGGTGGCCCAGCCTATCAATAAGACGCAGAGGGTAATGAGGATCAATAGCTTGAGCTTGTAGGAGAGGTGAAGGCTGGCAGAACAAAAGCCCATGGCCCTTCATAGATTAGAAGCTTCTTTGATACTGTTCTTGATGGAGTCCTGCCACAATGCAGGAAAGCAGAAAAATCAAATTAAAGAAAGGAATTCTGTGATGTTGCATTCTGACAAATTTCCTCCGGCTTTTGAATTCATACGTTTCTAGCCAAATGAGCAGTGGAAAGTAAACCTCAAATGGATCAACCTGTTCAGAATGAGACAGAAATAAAATATTATATGCTATCACTCAATCACTTTTAGAGTCAGCACCTCACAGAATTCATCAAGAGCAGAAATGGGTACAAACCTGTAATAACACCTTCTCCAATGCAGACATCCCTAGATGTATGGACTTTAACTCATAGAATCCAGTATCACCATTGCTAAGAATTCAGGGAATTGAAGTCCACATATCCAGAGGGCATACAGACTGCAAAAGGTTGGTGAAATACCTGAACTACCACAAAAGGAATGTTATTTCTTATTTTATAATACAGCAAATTCTAAATGTTCTCAGGTTCATAGTCATATCATTCCTGAGTCTCTCATAAAAGGTTGTAATCTACAAGAAGTTGGAAAAAAAGAAGAGAAAGCAAGCAGACTCTAGCTTCATGCATCAATTCATCCTAAAAAAGTAGTAACAAATTTACCCCAAAATATTGGGTAAAACTAATTCGTTTTTTTTACTGTGTGTGCCTTTAAGTCTAATATTTTGCCTCTGATATTTACTGTCTCTGTACTAGGTTAATAACTCTTTGTGTTTTTGCAACTTGAAAATTCTCAAGTTGCTTTTAAATAAAAGCAGACAAATTCCTATTGTTTGCAAGACCTTTATATTTTCCTTTATATTTTCGAAGGGAGATCCTTTTTGAGATGTAGTCTGTGATTTGAACAATTCTATATTTTATTTCCTTTTGCTACTGAATGTCTTGCATGTGACTGTATAAAAATGGATTTCTACATTATTTCCTTTTTTAAAATAAAATCAATAATGAAGTGCCACTATATATATTTTTTCTCTTCCTTTTTCTTTTCATTGTTAGAAAGTAACACAGAGTTAGAGTTAGATATGGAATGTGGAAACTCCATCTCTCTGCCTCACCAGTATTAGCAGGGAAGGTGCCAGCTGAGGCGCTCCCTAGAAGATAAGTGATGGAACTGAGAACTACTTAGCCACCCATTAAGGCAGGAGGTAGGGCTAGGATATGTAGACCCACAGCACTTCTGGAAGAGGAGGAATGAGTTCTCCAAACTTTCAGCCTATGCACTTAGCCCTGTTGTTATACATCCATGGTCTGATTTCAAATTAAAAATCTTCCAATGTTTCTATATTTTACAATGAAGAGAACTGTGGACTGCATGATCAGAAATTTCAGATTAGTAGGTAATACAAAAAATATCTTCAGCTGAAAATAGGTATCTTAACTGATAAGTAAACAAAGCAGAGATAGTTTCAAAATATTATTTACTGGACTTCTGTTCAAAAACACTGGTTTTTAATTTCAAGCACTCTGGCTTATGGCCAATTCTTCACATCATTGCCACTTCTATAATCAAAGCCAAGGGAAATACATTCTGCCAAACTGAACCAAAGGGTCTGTGAAACAAAGCCTCAATGCTTTCATCATATTTCCTCGAAGCAATTCCTGTTTTAATGTATATTTGAAAATAAAACTGCATTAACCCATTCTGGATTTCCAAGAAATATAAATTAGCACAGATTTGATCTACAGGTAGTCCTCACTTAGTGACCATTCATTTAGTGACCATTCGAAGATATGACAGCACTGAACGAATGGTAGTTCGGGAAGGCCATGTGCAGCCAGCAGCTGCCAACAAAGGGCCAGGCCGGATGCACCTCATCAGCAGCAGAGGAAGAAGATGGTGAAGGTCAGCTAGGTGGGTAGGTGGGTAGGGGCGGTGGGGGTGCAGGGCAAAGTGCAGGGTGGCCAAAAGGGCAGAGATGGGGGGGAGATAGGTGTGTGAGGGAAGTTGAAGCGGAGACGAGCGCAGCAGGGCAGAAAAGCGTGAGGTCCTGGCCTAACGACCACAACCAGGACTATCCTCACCACAACCAGGACTATCCTCGTTAAGCACTGCAATCACATGATGTTTTGCATAACAGCCACATCATTTAGCAATGAAAATGGTCCCAATTAGGGTCATTAAGTGAAGACTACCTGTATGGGACATATCCTAGGATGATCAAATAGCATAACTTTTGCTCCTTTTTTTAGTATCAACTGGTGGCTCTTGCAGGTATCACTCCATCCAGTACTAATAAAGTAGCCAGAGAAATGCAGTACAGAGGGGCAGAAATGGGCTTATTAAAAGCCACATACAAAGTGAGAAAGATTTGCAAATTCCAGTTTCACAGCTCAGTCTAAGGAGCAAGAAGGTAGGAAGCTAGGCACACATAATACACACTTTGATGTCAAGTAGATAGGAAAGCTGTACAGCTATGAGGAATGCAGTTACGCCATTAGTGGTCTAAGCATCTATTTAATAACAGATAAGTAGAAAAAAGGAAGTTACTCCAGAATTACCAAATGTGCAACTGAAAAATGTAGGAAGGCACAACACTTAACTCATTGCATTGACATACTGGCTCCATTGAGGTCTAAGTGGTCAGAATTGCCAGGTTTTTAGGGTTTCCACTCATGAATAACCTGCTCAGGCTTGTTTTACAATTACTCATCATCAATTGGCAAAAGCTGCTGAATATGAAGCAGCACATGTTTTAGTGTTTGTTTTGGTAAACCAGTTTTTCCCAACCTACTGCTCTCTAGATTTGTTAGACTTCACTTCCCACAATTACAAACTAGTATGGTCAAGGCCCAATATTACTGAAAGGTACCAAGTGGGGGAAAGCTTGTGCAGTTTGAATAATCAATATCCATAGGAGGTTGACAGGCAATTAAAGTAATTAACCAAATATATGTTTTTACTAGGGAATTCTAAAATGTGCAAAAGTCAAGATATAAGAACTGTAAATCTCATAGCAGAACAGTGGGAGAACAGTACAGGTAGTCCTCACTTAACAACCACAATAGGGACTAGAAAATTGGTCATTAAGTGGGGTGGTCGTTAAGCAAGTCACCATGTAAGCAGACCCAACATTACAACCATTTTTATGATGGTTGTTAAGCAAATCACATGGTTAAGTAAATCCAGCCTCCCCAATGGATGTTTTTTGCCGGAATTTTCTAATGAACATGTGATTCACTTAATGACTGCAGTGATTCACTTAACAACCATCATAAAAAAGGTTGCAAATTGTGATCATGTGACACAAGAGGGTGCGACGGTTTGCAATGGTCGTAAGTGCAAGTACAGGTCATGAAGCACTTTTTCCAAGGCTGTCATAACTTCAAACCATTGTTAAAGGAACAGTTGTTAAGTAAGGACTACCTGTACATCAGCTTTGCACATACCATCTACAGTGAAAATCTAAATAATTATTAATTTATGTTAAAGATTCATTTTGTTTAATTGTTCAGGACAATTTATTGTTCTTTCATTTCCTTTTGATTATCTTCCTGATTATGTGTGATGTGTAGCTAAGAGTATCTTTGACTATTTCTGTAAGTTGTATAAATAACATAAATTAACATTTATACAACTTACAGAAATGAAATTATTTCATTTCACAGTCAAGATAAATAAGCCTTAGAGTGAGAAAGCTGCAGAGTACTGCTGGATCAACATTAAGACAAATCAATTTTGCAATACAAGTACAGAATAACTGAATGGCATTTCCTCAACATTCTGACCATGAGAGAGAGAGAGTCTGTGTGTGTGTGTACTAAGAAACACAACAGAAGACAGCAAGGATCTATATTGTCTTGGTAACATAAGCCTGTCTGTTGCTTCACTGACACTTTATGGCCTATTTACACAGGATGTACTTCAGTATTTAAAAGTCAGGAAGTAATTGTTATGTAGCAGGAGAGCAGTGCCAATGCAAGGTGAATTGGAAGAAAAAAAATTACAGAGTAGCTGATCCTCTGAAGTAGCCATTTCTTTCTCAATTAGCCCCAATACTCAGAACAACATCTTGACTGCTACTGCCAAGGACACCTTTGTCTCTTGAAACCAACCCAGGACATCTGAAAAATCAGGAATCTGGTAGCACCTTTTCCAACAAACAAATTTTGTTAATAATTTTATTTATGTTAACAAATAAAACTTGTTCATCAGAAAAGGTGCTATCAGATTCCCAATTTTTTTGCCACCGCTAACCAATACAGCTCTCCTAGAAGGACATCCAAAAGGAAGCATTTAGTATTAGGAGCAGCATCGAGAGTTGTTTCAATTGATTATCAGAGATATTGAAGCAGCACAGACTGTACAGTACATTAGATCCATTTCAAGTGGTAGTACAACTGTTATGTGAACCTCCTCCCATTGGAAATTCTGGAGACTCTAGACTTAACCCTTGAGGAGGAAAGGTGATTTTATACCAGAAGCAAGATGAACAGAAAGGAAAGCTGGTATATTTAGAGCAGTGTTTCTCAACCTTGGCAACTTGAAGATGTGTGGACATCAACTCCCAGGGTTGAGAAACACTGCTCAGCTGCCAAGGTTGAGAAACACTGATTTAGAGAGAGATTAGCTGAAAACACCAAAAAAGCCAGTGTGAGGCTGAAAGAAAAGAGTTCTAGGAAATTCAGGCACGCATCCATTCTGAACTCAAATGAAGGATGTAACTTGCTCCCATTATCTTCTTGTTTGAGCCAAGAGGAAACAAGAGACTTACCTGGTCTTGTCACTTGCTGCTCACTCTCCTTCTGTGAAGTTTTTTCTTACAGCGGCTAAAATAACTTTCCTGGGCCAAGGAAAGTTTTAAATCACGAAACCCAACACCAGAAAGAGTCCTCTGTTGAGTCTCACAGATTCAGTAATAAAAGTTTGTTCAAAAATGCAGACATCACTAAAGAAAAAAGAAGGCATCAGTTTCTGTCTTCTTGTGTCAAAAGCCGCACCCTATTTGCTTTCCCTACTTCCAGTTTCCTCCATGCCTTTTCTGTCCTCGCTATCAAGAGATATAGAGAAGCTACATAAGGAGCACAGAAACACGCTCTGATAGCTCTGCAGGCCGAGTCTGACAGCCTTTTGGATTTCTGAAGTTCTGCATACTTTTGCCACTGGATCTGTTCTTAGAACTTCATGTGAGGCCTCAAGGGAGTATACCAAACAATACCAAAGCTTGGGACTTTATTTCATTCACAAAGTTATCTAACGTACAATGTGCTGGTGTGGAAAAGTAACCGCCCCCTAGTTCAATCACTTGATTTAAAGAGATACCTACAGCCAGCTGTAGGATTAAACTATAGGGCAGTGTTGTCCAAACTTGGCCACTTTAAGATGAGTGGACTGAAACCCAGAATGTTTGAATTCAAGAATGTTTTTGGTTATCCTGGGACAAATTCCTGAGAAGTTTTACTGGTAAGCAGGAATATCCAACTGGCCCACCCAGGTGCCAGGAAGATCAGGCAAGGGGCAGGTGGGCTAGTTGGATATGCAATGTTTGAATTCAAGGGTGACAGCAGCCTGCCCATATTACCACTGTTCTTCTTAGCACTTTCCTTTCCCTACCTTCCCATAGCCACACTGCATACCACTGCCAGTTATAGCACTGTCTTTTTTTCTACTCGCCCTATCCCAAAACAATTTTGTGTGGAACATCCATATTTTAGGTCTGCATCCTGACCAAATTAGCAATGTTTCTATCTGGATACAGATCATCCAAAACTGGCTGTCCCATTCATGGAACAGTTCATGAACAAAATATTTGCATAACCATAATTCCAAATGCCAATCATTAATGTGGTAATGTCATGGTTTAAGGATGTTTTCCTGCCTGAAGACTTGCATCACTTGGCAAAAGAAACATGAATTTTGCTTAACACTAGGAAATTCCATAGGATATTATTAGGCCATCTTACCATCAGCTGAACCTGAACCACAAATGGATCATACAGCAAGGCAATGATCCCAAACATACAACCATGTTTTCTAGATAATGGATGAAGAACAAATGTAATGTTTTGGAATGGCCAAGTAAAGATATATGTGAAGAAAATAATAATAATAAAAAGCTACTTCATACAACAAACCAAGCCACATTCAGGCCTGCCATGAGAGCACAACAAGTAACTGTATGCTTTACATCAGCCAAACAAATCCTAGATAACCCATGTCCTTGGCTTGTTTGGCATATTGTTTGAACGGTGACTGTGGCTTGCTGCTCTTGGACAGATTAAGCCAGACAAGGAAGCCAGTATTTCAAGTACTATATAAATGTGATGATTGACTCTTACTTTTGTTTTATTGCTGGCCTCATAGTTATGCACAACTATGCACAGTTGCTCTGTCATACCAGCAGGAAGAGGGGACAAAATTCCCAATTCCTACTAAATGTGAAGTGTGCCTGCAGCACCAACATAATGGGTAATACATCATAAGTAAGTAGTCACTTTAAAGGAAGTTTAAAGAAGTAATGAGCAAGGTTGTCCTGTTAATATTGAACAGGTTAGTAACTTAGTATAGGCACAATTAAACATAATTGTCTGAAAGGTAAAGCAACTTCCCTGGGTCAATGTAATAAAGGTCAAGCTTTATTACATTTTAAATGTGACAGAGAAGTGAGCACAACTGTACTAAAAGTAAAACAGAAATAGCTGGAAGTACAGAGGGATCTCATGAAGACAGAGAAGATCTTTATGGCAGAATTTGCATATCAAACATACTTCAAGAATTCAACTGTAACTATGTTAAGACATGGAATGAAGTTTAAAAAAAGACACGTTAAGATGAGAGAAATTACAACTGTTATTGCTGGAGAGAATTTCTGTGATAAAAATTAATGTTTTGCCTAGAATGATGTTTTTGTTTCAGACAATACCTGTTTTGACTACTGATACGCCATTTAAACAGTGGCAGAAGGATATATCTAAATTTGTGTGCCGGGGAAAAAGCCAAGAGTTAAATGTAACAGGTAAAGGTATCAATGTGGAAACAAGAAAACTCTGAATTCTAGTCCTGCCTTTGGCACAAACCAGTTGTGACACTTTGGGCCAGTCATTTTCTCTCAGGCCTAGGAAGAAGGTACTAGCAAATCACTTCTGAAAATGTTGTCAGGAAAACTGCATGGATTTTTCTAGGCACTCACCTGGAATGGAGACTGACTTGAAGGTACCCCTCCAAAAAAGATAACTTCCTGTATTAAAATGATTATGTTTAGGTACTTTTTGAACAAAACAATATATTTAATTACAGAAAGAAGAGCAAATCCAATACTGACCAAAAAAAAATTGAATAATAGGTGCCACAGTCACATCCAGCTGTGCATGAACATGCACCTATTAGACCCTGCTTGCTGCTCACAATCTAAAGAATCCAGAAATGATTTTATAAACGTAGAGGCAACAATTTGTGCTCTTCCAGATGCCACCAAACTACAATTCCCAGAAACTCTCACCATCCAGAATCCTAGCAAGATGCTCCCTTTCCTACTAGGATCATAAATCAGAATTGCTATTGTTTACCAATCCTGGCTTGTAAAAAGGAACAGCAAGCTAGAGTAATGGTTTCAGAGAACACTTGTCACATTAAAGGAAAGAGTCAAGCGGGATCAAATGAGCTGTAAATGTTGCAACCAATGTGACTAGCCATCAATAACTTAAGTAGACATTCAAAATAGAAATGCATTAAATTATCAATAATCAAATATGAACAGCCTGGTGAAGTCAAAGAGATTCATGCACATTTCCCCCCAATATGTACATATACATATTCCCCAAATGTACATACACTGTTCAGACATATAAAAACTATTTTGCTTATAGAGACTCCCAAGTATAAAACAAAACAGAACCAGGGCATATAACAGAGTCATTACGGACAGTATGTTCTTTTTTAAAAAGGTATGTCCGGCTCCAGTCCCTAAATGCCTTGTGTCATAGAAAGTTCTAGTCCTCTTTCTCTTTGAGCTAGATCACTTCTGCAAAATTCCAGAAACATGTATTTCTTTTTTAAAAACTTTAAACTTTTTTTCTTACATCTTACAATTATCTAAGGTTATAAACTCATCTACTTTTGCCAGTAGAGAAAGTGGAAGAGTTTGTTTTGTGCAGCACTAAAAGAATACTCCCTGCCCTGTTTTGTTTTATTGTGAACCAGTGAGATGCCCATTACAAAGAGATACAAATATCTGACAACATATTCTCCTCTTAAATTGGGCATTTCAAAATTGGGCACTTAATTATCTGGTAACAGGTCACAGAATGAGTTGCTGAGATGTACTGGGGGGTGGTATCTACTGATGGTTAGTGGGTTTTGCCTGGCATTGCACAGCATGCATTAACTCATCTCTATCTGAAAACAACAACAAAGCTTCCTAGTTCTAGTTCTACGCCCAGAACCAATTTCCACCTCTCCCAGCGAATTCGCTTAAAGCCATCGTGTTCAGTAGGACTGACTTCCCACGCAAAGAAGCATGAGGTGCTGCCTTCAGATGCAATTTCATGCATGGCTATTCCGAAGTGTGTCCCTCTGAATTTAATAAGGTTTACTCCGGAAAAACGGATCAAGAGAACTCAGGATTCCCCTCCCATGAAACATTCCTGACATCCCATTACAGCACAGTATTTCCCGAGGGGTCCACACGGCTCCGGGAGGAAAGCGAGCTAGGGGTTAAGCACCCCGATTCCCTCTTCCTCCTCCTCCCTCGCCTGCTCCGTACTCACGCTAACGCGTTGCTCGACCAAGCGTTCTGTCCCATTCCATCTCCCCCTCCTAAGCCTCGGGTGTCAACCCAAACGCCCCGCCAACCACGGAGAGGAAGGCAGAACGGCCAGTTTTACAACCATAGAGGTTCTTCCCTGCAAGTAGAGCGTCACGGGTCTTGGTCCCGCTGCGGTTGCCTAGAAACGAGGCCTGGAGACAGATAACTCTTTCCAGACCACTGCTTTCTAGTCGACGCGTCTCCTTCCGTTTTCAGTCTTTCTCCCTAGTTACTCTTCGTGACGTGATATGGGGACTTCTTTTGCCGAAAGTTACATTATTTATCGTTACCTTTATTGTCCAACACTCGCTTTTCACGCTGTGCTCAGAACCGCTCGTTCGAAAGCGCTCCTCCGTCCCGTTGTTTCTTTGCGTAAGGACGTAATCATAGAAAAGCGCCACCTGCGGCTGTTGAGGCTCTCGTCAAAATTGACGGTAATTGAGGCTGAAATTGTGTTAGAGAATTCGGAAATTAAGTGTTGCATGGGGGGAGGGAGCGTCCCATATCTAAAATTGCTGCCTACTGCTTCACTCAGTCCCAACCTCTGTTTTCAGACGGATTTTAAATTGCAAACGTACAGACTGTAAGATCCGACTTGTTCCCCCCATTCCTTGCCCTTTGTATTTGAGGAAGAATTTTGGAGAATTTAAAAGCTCACAGTAATGATAGAGTTTGAAGGGGTCATTTCGGTCATCTTCCACCCCTTATTCAGTGCACAAATCCTATTTATTTGCCTATTTATTCATTACTTTTGTATACCCCACCACGGCAATCAGCTCTAACAGCAAAAATAAGGATTAAAAACAGAAAACAATACAAACCATAATGTTGCAATCCAGGGAGCAGATACTACTCGGTGCTTTCTCCCAGAGCCAAATTTTCTTTGTATACATTCCCTATTAGAAGTTGTCTACCCTCTATCTGAATATATTCCATGAAGGAAGCCTACCATCTCTGCTGTCAAACTGCTCAGTTAGAAAGTTTCTTGTTTCTAATATTCAAATAGAATTAGTCCTCCTGTAATGTAAATCAATTATGATGTGTCCTTCAATCTGAAATTACAGAGAACAGAGAAAGGATATCTGTGTGATATCTATCTAGATAATGATATCTATCAAGATAAGCATTCCCAATTCATCAGTTTTATGTTCTGATTACCTTTTATATTCTTATTACCCTTCTTTGATGCCACATTATGTCAAGACTGACATGCTGCCTTCACTAAGATTCTGAACAACATTAACAATTTTGTTTTTTATCCCTTCTCTGAATTTGTCTAGTTTATCCAAATCTTCTAAAACTGCAGTGTCAGGAAGTGGATACAGTCCTTGAGATGAGTTTTTACAAAATAAAAGAGAACTGTTACTTCCTGTAAATTTGGAAACAATGCTTTTGTTGATATATAGCTTAAAGCTGCTATTGCCTTTTTAGGAAGCAGATTTCACTGCTGATTTATATTAGTTTGCAATCAATTACTATTGTTTGCAGCGGGATGTGTGGGACTCAGCACTTTGTCTAAATGACAAAAGCTGTGTTGTGCTGTTGCAGTGCAAGCTTTGCCCCTTTCATATACGTGTGCAATGTCATGCTGTGTGTACAAAGGGAGGGGAGCTTATGTCACATTGGCACAAGATTGGTTTAATTATTTATCTTCCACTTGACTGTCCCTGCCAATGCTCCTGTGGTACTATTACCAAGCCAAGCATCTCTTATTTTGACATTTGAATTGTTTCCTCAATAAAGAACTTTGCATTTGTTCCTGTTAAATTTCATCTCATGGAAACCCGAATTTTGTGACACACTAGATTTTGTGATTCCTTATTCCAGTTTGATGAAAATTATTAATGAATATGATTTGGAGGTCAGCTGTGTAACCATAGTTATGCCATCCAGCTCACACTTAACTAGCCTAATAATGTTGTGGGATATTTTGTCAAATGCTTTGCTGAAATCAGGATATAATAAATTGACAGCATTCCCTCAATAAACTAAGGAAATTTCCAATCAAAAAATAAGGTGAGGTTTGTCTAGCAAACTTGTTCATGACAAATCCATGCTGAGATTTAGTACGTAATGCACTGTTTTGTAGGCACTTACAAAATGATTTGTTTATGATTGGCTCTAGAACCTTCCTGGGTATCAGTTGTAGACTAAGTGGCTTACAGTGCCTCAGATTCCCTTTTTTGAAAACAGTCACATTTGCCTTCCTGTAGTCTGGTACTTCATTTTTCTCTGGGATTTCCCAGCTAATAAAGACCAGACCAAACTAGACCATAGGTTACTTTTTCAGTGTCTTCAGATGCAATTCATGTGGGCCTAGAGATTTAATTCAGTGAAAGTAAATGGATATTCTCTGACCATGTTCTGTTTCAGTTTCATTTCAGCACCTTCATGCTAATATTCAGTTTCCTGATGGAACATATATATTTTGTTAGAGAAAGCCAACCTTAAAGAGAAGTTTTCTTTGTTACTCTTAGCATTTTTTATCATTATTGAGCAGCTGGTGTAGTAGTTCTTTTCTCTTCCATTTATTTTGAATATATCTGACAAAGTCCTTTTTATTCATAGCATTGTTCACCAACCTCAGCTTATTTTGAGCTTTAGCTTTTTGCAACAGTTTTACAGTTTCAGGCTTCCTATTGAAGGGCATTATTTTAATATATGATTTTATATTTTGTATATATATTTAACATGCATGTAACAGTGCACTCTATCTTATTTATAAAGGATCAACTTGCTTTGTAAAGAGCACAGCGTTTCTTTCCCCCACCTTATCTCTTTGTTGAATGCCTGATTGTCTTTGGATGAAAAAAAACTTAGCTTGGTAAAAGGTGCAAAGAGAGAAGCCCTGAATTCTACAAGAGATAAGGGCATGCTAACATGTGCTATTCCCCTGGTAACAGGAGAAGAGAGTTGAGCTCACTTTCTTCTTCTGGGATCCACCTTTTCCCCCCCTTAGACCATCCCTGCATTTCTTTATATGGGAATGAGGGGATGTACAATTTGATTACGTTGTGGATGTCTATAAAATCTTTGTTGTTTGTTTTGCAAGGTGTGGTTC